AGAAACACACACACACACAGAAACACACACACACACAGAAACACACACACACACAGAAACACACAGACACACAGAAACACACAGACACACACACACAGACACACACACACAGACACACACACACAGACACACACACACAGACACACACACACAGACACACACACACAGACACACACACAGACACACACACACACAGAAACAGAAACACACACACACAGAAACAAACACACACACACACAGAAACAGAAACACACACAGACACAGAAACAGAAACACACACACACACACACACAGAAACACACACACACACACACACACACACAGAAACACACACACACACACACACACAGAAACACACACACACACACACACACACACAGAGAAACACAGATATAGATACACACACAGAGAAACACAGATATAGATACACACACAGAGAAACACAGATATAGATACACACAGATATAGATACGCACACATACACACACACAGAAACAACAACTGTGGGCCAGTTACTGGCTTCTGTTGGAAATGGTCTACAAATATTGCCTGTGCATGTATCTGCCTGCACAGTTCAAGACTTTACCCAGCTATGATTCCTAACCCAGCGTTCTACTGATGGCTAATGTATGAGTGTGAATGGCCTCCTACCCTAGACACTGGAAAGCATCTGATTCCCAATGGGCCTTAGTAAGGGATTGGCACACATTTAGGTTGCAGGGGAGATCTCTTGAGGCAGCATGGTGGCTCAGTGGTTAGCTCTGCTGCCTCACAGCGCCAGGGACCCAGGTTTGATTCCACCCTTTGCGTGGAGTTTATACATTCTCCCCGTGTCTGCGTGGGTTTCCTCCCACAGTCCAAAGATGTGGCAGTTTAGTTGGATTGGCCATGGGGAAATGCAGGGGTACACAGATGGGGTGGGGGCGTGGATCTGGGTGGAACGCTGCTCGGAGGGTTGGTGTGGACCAAATGGCCTGCTTCTTCACTTTGGGGATTCTATGATTCTCCTGTTCAATCTCTCCCCTAGCCTGAGGCATGGTGACTGTCAGGTTAAACCAACACCGGTCACCTCTCACTGTAAAGAGGGAGCAGCCCCATGGTCTGGTGGGTCTCTAGCAACTTTCCTTTTCATTTGCATCTTCTGCACTATGCATATGTATTCATCTATTACAACCACCTTTGGGCAGCAATGTACGATGACTTTATTACAGGTCAAAATAATCTGCATGAGTTTCCTTC